TCCCCTCTCCCCACCCTTTGCTCTCTTCACCTTCCCCCTCTTCCTGCCCCTCCCCCTTGTGCCCGAGACGTGGGGGAAGGGTTCGCCGGAGGTGGGGGGGCGCGACCGGTAGCAGGGGCGCAGCGGGGCGGGGTCGTGGCTATGGGGTGCAGTTCCTGCCACCTGGGGTTACCCTCGCACCGCCCAGAGGGAACAGAGCTGGACCAGGGAACTGGTTGGAGGTCTTATGGGACCCAGGCCCAACTTCCTTGGGCTCACCTGTAAAGTGGGGTCCCACCTGTCCCCCCGGATCTGAGCCGGCTGGCAGGGAAGTTGTGTCCACTCTGAAGCCCCGCAGGGATCCAGCTGGGATCGCCTACCTGGACTCTTCCCTGCAGCTTCCCAGGAGAAAGCTGGGGCCGCTGGGGTGTGGCCCAGCTGAGTTGACCAGCCTGTGACATCAGATAAGTCACTAACAAACCGTCTGGCCTGTGTTCTCATCTGTGCAGCCGAACCAGAATGTACTTAGCTCCCGGGCACCCTCGGGTCCACGGGTTAGTGCACACAGAGCTCCCAGCAGTACTGCAGAGCAGATGACCAGTTAACTAGGTTAACAGCAGAAATCAGAGCTGCCCAGAAATATATCAGAAGGGCTAGGGCTTCCCATGTCTCTTTTAGGGTAAAAAGGGACAAGAAGCCACCTCCCTCCCCAGTATTGGAGTAGGTGAGGAGCCTGTGGGTCACAGCACAGGACGCTGTGCCTCTGCCGGGGAGGCCTCACTTTGGTACCCAACAGTGCAGCAGAAGTTTGCAAAAAAACGGTTAAAGACACCCCCCATTTAATTATTGTGTCTTCCCAGGTTCAGTGAAAACAGTTTATTGAGAACAAAAAAAAAAACAAACAAACGTGAAGTGGCATAAAAAGGTGAAAGCACGAAAAATGTGGACCCGGATAGAGACTTTTGCACTTTCAGTTGGAGGTTTAAAATGGCTCCATTTAGTGGGTAAAAGAGGAAGCCTGTGTGAAAGAAATGAACACGAAGCTCTGGCCGGAGGGAGATGACCATTAACAAGGCAGGCAGCGGGAAGTGTGGCCACCACTGTGCCCATTGAGGTGAGAAGGCTGACAGGTGACAGGTGTGTGCTGCAGGCAGGCGGAGTCCGGAGGAGGGTTCGTGGACCATGCCTGGCTGCAGAATTTCTCCTGAGGGGAGCCCACGTGTTCAGGGACTGGGCCCCTGCTCCCTGGAGCAGCAGCAGCAGCAGTGACTGTGCTGGGACCTTGGTCCCCACTCGACCCGCAGGGAGTGGCTCCACTGGGGAATCTGCCCTCCCAGCGTGAAGAAGCCCGGCAGAGACCTGTGCAGGGGCAGGAGAGGGGTCCTGGAAGGGCAGAACCTGCCAGCAGGGGCAGGAAAGGGGAGACCAGGCTCCTGGAAGGAGGAGAGTTGATTTGAGAAGGACAGGAAGTTAAACCCAAGGGAACTCCCTCACCCCAGTAAGGTTTCTTCACATCATTAGCCACAGGGACAGGAAGGGCTTGTCACTAGCAGTGCATTCGGACTGCAGCAGGCTTTCCTTCTCAAAGGTGCCACAGTTAAAAAGGCCACAGTGGCCACAGGACGTTTCTTACGTGGTTGGTTTGGTTGCTTGGTTGGTTTTTTTGGAGACCATGCCCCATTTCTCATGCTGGCATCAAAGACCCTCTGATAACATCACACATTCTGTCATGTTCAATGACAGGCAGGCTGAGTTAAATATCATTTAATTGAGCAGTAAAAGTCCAAAAGGCGGCTGCTCATGGGACCCCACCCTGAGGATCTCCTGCAGGAGGTACAAGCAGACGGCACTGCAGGTGCAGAAAAGGAGGGCACAGGCAGTGACCCCAGCCAGCCACGACCCGGCTTCACATATTCATGCAGGGTGCAGGCTCAAACCCACAGGCCCATGGGCAGCGGGTACCACACTGGAACGTACTTTGCCAGGAAGCAAGGATTTCCTCCTGATATCCTGAAAGGTGCTTCTGCCTGCACACCACAGATGGGCATGGGGCTGGCCCACAGCCCTCAGGGACAGACAGACAGACAGACAGACAAGAACCAGAACGTCTTCTCCCCATGAAAGCTTTCCACCTTGGCACACAGTAAACCAATGCAGCAAAAATACAGAGGACAAAACCCCAAGATCTGTGTGCCTTCAGAAAAGGCGAGGGCAAATTCTCAAGTGGAGGCGATTCAAGAGGAAATTAATTCAGCCGAGACAAAGGCCCAGAGCAGCGCATCACAGGCTGCCCTTGGCGCCCGGCGTGTTAGGGCTGGGCAAGCCCTTTGTGCTGCACCAGCTTTCACAGCCACAGAAGCCCAGTGGGGCACCAGGAGATCACCCACAGCCACAGAAGCCCAGTGGGGCACCGGGAGATCACCCACAGCCACAGAAGCCCAGTGGGGCACTGGGAGATCACCCACAGCCACAGAAGCCCAGTGGGGCACTGGGAGATCACCCACAGCCACAGAAGCCCAGTGGGGCACTGGGAGATCACCCACAGCCACAGAAGCCCAGTGGGACACTGGGAGATCACCGACACAAACGGGTTTCCCCGTCAGGGCAGCAGGAGCAGAGACCTCAGGGAGAACTCCTGCCAGGGGATCCCACAGGAGGTGAGGCCACAGGGAAGACCGGATGGACGCTGTGCTATATAGCACACCTGCCGACTCTGCACGCGTGTCTGGGCTCTGCACATGGAGTGGGGCGAACGGCTGCCACTGTGGATTCCATGAGAGCTGTGTGGCACTTACAGTGAGCTCGGTAGCAGGAACCTGGGAAGCTGTGGCACCCGTGCCGGTGACCCCAAAGGCTGGAATCCTTGCAGGGCCTCTCCTTGTGGTCACTGTGTCCCATAAGCAGTTTAGGAAGATTTATCTGCTTCCAAATTGTTCCAGTTTCTCGACTTAGTGTTTGAAACTTTACCACTGGAGATGAAACGCTTTGTGTGAAAGCGTCACTCTCACAAAGATGTCTGCTTGGGAAAGAAAAGGAGTGACCATATCTGAGGTGGGAAACACTTTGTGCTTGCCATACGCATCCAAGGAAGGGGCGACCGCATCCTCTCATTTACCGAGAAAAGACCGTAAGGCCCCCTTGTAAACCTGTGGCTGCCCCGGTTTGTGTCAGAATCCGCCTTTCTGTGTTGGACACTCCGCAGGCAGACTCGGGCCTGGTCCCTCTGGGGTTCTGGGTGGCTGGAGAGAGCAGGACAGGGCTGCCCTGGCCTCCTCCAGCCCCCAAATCTGCACAAACCCTGCCTAGACAAGACAGCGGTACTGCCCCTCCCTCTCGCCTGCCTCCAGAATGAAGGCACGGAGGCCTTGGCTCCGCACTGCACAGGCACCATCCGGCTCTGCCTCAGGGCTCCAGCAGCCTGGGCAGGAGCCCACCGGGACACACCTAAGCTCAAATCCCTCATGGGCCCATGCCTCCCTCCATTCTCCCTGCTCCAGGCACACAGACGCTCCCATTCAGGTCCACATGCAGCACCAATGCTGTGGGGTCTCAGGTGGCCTGTGTGGTTGATGACATTTGCTAAACACCCATAGAGGTCCCCAGTGACTTAGCATCTGCAGCTAATAAGATCTCTGGCACAGGACAGATGGGCCAGCGAGGAGGGCAAGCTTGCACCCCCCTTGGGCTTCCCCAGGAGGCTCTGTCGGGCGGGGAGGGCCAGGCCTCCTCCTCCTCCCCAGGCAGTGGGCGGGGTCACTGGGCATCTCTTGTTCTGTCAAGGGGAGGTGGAGCGAGTGTGAGTCACTCATCAGGGCCAGGCCTTCAGCCCCAGTGCCACCCCTGGGACCAGCCTGCTCTGCTCCTCCCCTCTTGTCCCCACACCCCACAAACTCACAGCAGTATCTGTTTTCCTGCTACAAGAGGAAGAGACAGTTGTGGGGAAGATGGCTTGAGGGTGAGGAGCTGGAGAGGTGAAGGTAAGCCCACATTAAGATGCTGAGAATCCAAGAGCGAGAGAAAAGCATTTCGGAGAACATCCAGGGAGGCTGCAGGTCATTCACCTGAGGGCGCTTCCCCAGTCCTGCCTGTGTGCTGCGTGCAAAAAGTGGCCCCTGACTTTGTGGTGTTCAGGAGCTGGGAAAACCTCCATGGTTGGAATTCCAGCCTTTGAGGTAGGGCCCGCTGACCCCTCCTGGAGGTGTTTCCCAGGTGGCCCTGAGCTGAGACTCTGTGGGAAGCGTGGGAAGCAGGCGACTGGGCAGGGAGCGGAGGTATGGCCAGGCAGGACTTAGGCAGGCACCGTCCAGTAGGGACAGTCCAGGATTCACACGGCGGCCCCTCTCCAGGCGCCCCAATGGAGCCAGGATCTCAGGAGCTGGAAGCTGGTGGTGTCTTGAAGTTGGTGTTTCCAGACAAGGCACAGGACTGCAGAGTATGACACAGGCAGGGCGGGACTGAGAGAGGGCGAGGTCAGGGTTGGGACAAGGCCATGGCCTCAGAGGCCAAGGGGCATTATGGGGGCTCTGTGGCAGCACCCAGAATTCTGCCAGTGTTGAGAGGGGCAGGGGGCAGGGAATTGCCCTCCACTTCAGAGTGGGCAAAGCTGGGTTTGGCTGACAGCCCAGGAGGCTGAAGGGCCTGGGGTTTGGTCAAGAGGAAGGGAGAAGTGGGATAGAAGGGGGCGCCTAGACCCCAGGAACGAGGTGGCAGGCAGGGGCTTGGTGGAGATCAGTCAGGGAGGAGCTAAGAGCTGGGACGAACCAGAAGGCTGGGAAGCCCAGTCCCGAGTTTCCCTTTCTGTGCGGCCCTGGCATCCAGGGCGGTCAGCACCCAGGACACCTGGTGTCTCTGTGGGGGGTGGCGGCCGAGGGAACAGCCAGGGAGGGCCCACAGCACTCACACCGGGCTCTTCACCTCCGGCCCACACAGAAGCACGCTCAGAAAGCGTTCTTATTATACTGTTTCTACTGGCAGAAAATGTACAGGCCACTTGTGTGATTTCATTTATGAAGAAACTGAAGCAGATTTTTATTCTTTATTGCAAGCAGATTCAGGTCTCCTGCTTAGATAATCTAGAGAAAAGTCCAATATAATATTATCAAGTCAGTTTATCTACAGAAATAAAAGTTAAAAACAGGAGCATACAAAATAAACTTTACAGAAATGTTATATTTGGTTTAAGTCACAATTTAATTTTTCAAAGCAGATTAATGAATTAACAGTTAAATGTTACTGTGTGGAGGCTGATTTATGTTAAATGCACCTACTACGTTCAATAATTTAAAAATAAACTCCAGTATTTATGATGATGACAACTATGGATACCATTCATGTTAAATACATTTTTGAACACCTTCTTTTATTACATTACATAATGAATAGACATTTTAAATGGTAATGCAGACATTATAATTTTAAGTCGGACACAATATATGCATATTAAATTCTGTATACTTTGATAAGGTAAAAAATAAAGCTATATAAATTGATCTTTAGATTTTTTTTCTGCAAAAGTAGAATCATACTTTCATGACACTTCTAACATCCCCATCAAAGCTGCTTATAGACACAAAATGAGAACCATTTTCGTTCAAGTTCACCCACCTTTAGCTAAAAATAAAAAAAAAAAAACATCGCATTTGCCAACTGATACTTTTCCTGTTTTTAAAGTTACAAATGGGTAGCTTCCTAAAGAAATGTAGGATGCAAGGACCTGCACATCAAGCTGTTAGACATCGAGTTGTCAAATAAATAACAGTAAGATTAAATAAAAGTGGTTGCATTATTCAACACGAGTCAGTGCAAAACACATGAACAGAGTGGTCTGAAGAAGGAGGCTGGAGGTTTCCTGCTATGGCACTGGACCCTGGGCCGAGGCTCAATTCAGTGGAGTCACAACAGCAAGTCTAAACATGTGTTTCAACGCTCCGCAAGCCGAATGGTCACCGTGTGGGAGAGGCTGGCCATGTCTGGCCTCCTCCCTCAAGGCTGTGTGGCCTGCTTGTTCGCCGTGTCTGCTCAGACACAGGCTGGGTTGACTGGGGCTTGAAGAGGCTGTGGCCCTGCCCAGCTGGCTTGTGGCAGGCTGGCCATGCTCCCTGATGTGTCAGGGATGAGGTGTGGCGTTGGTGCAGCAGTCCTGCTGTGGCCGCCTGGTTTAGGGCTGAGCTGAGGGGACGTTTCATCTTGTGGGGCTGGACCTCCCTGAAGGGGAAAGGGCCTTGTCCAGGGCACCAAGCATTGCTCACAGAGCAGCTGTGTAAGTGAAGCTGCAGCTTCACCCCTGGGGCCTGCTCTGCAAAACCCAGACATTCTACCAGGAGGAGGACTCTTCATCACATGGAGGCATGGGGTAGGGTCCAGGGAGCCCCATCTTCCCACACCTGGCCAGAGGCCCCTCACAGGGCCCTCAGGAAGGAGGAAGAATGCAGTGTGGGACACCAGGCGGGGGTGCATGTGTTTGTGGCACATGTGTGTATGCATTCATGTGTGCACATGTGTGCATGTACGTATACATGCATGTGCATACATGTATGTATTCATGAGTGCAGGAGCCTGCATGTCTGGGGATGTATGCATGTGCATGTACATGTGTAGGAGCTCACGTGTACACACGTGTGTTTACATGCCTTGGAACTCATGTCTGTGGTGTGTGTACACGTGCTTGTGTGTGGGAGCTTGCACACGTGTTTGTAGTGAATGTACATGTGTGTGTATGCATGTGTACAGGTATAAAAACTCATACGTATTTCTGGTGTGCATAGGTGTGTGAGAGCAGCCCGTAGGAGCTTGTACATGTGCTTAATGTACATGCATGTGTGTACTCACGCGTCCATGTGTAGGAACTTAGCTTGTTTGTGGTGTGTGTGCATGCATGCATTGTGTGTGTAGGAGCTTTCATGCGCCTGTGGTATGTGTACACCTATGCATGGATTGCCTATGTGTGTAGGTCACACATGCTTTTGTGGTGTCTGTACGTGTGTGTATACATGCAGGAGCTCACACACACTTGTCGGTACACATTTGTGTGCATGCATGCCTGTAGGGGCTTGCACGCCTGTGTGTCCATGTGCATATGTATGCATGTGTTCCTGTGTGCAAGCCTGCATGTGTACATGGCTGTGAGTGAAATGGAGCCAAAGCGAAGGGAACTCATGTGCAGCGGGCCCGCCTGTGTGTATATGAGACACACGGTGTGTGGCCGGGACTGGGTGTGGAGCAGCAACCGTGTATCTGACCAACATGCTGAGTTACAAGTTGGTAATTTATTAACATGTGCAGCAGCGAGTAAGATTTTTAAAAACAAAGTGCTTAAAGTTGACATTACTTGCTTCAAAGTTAAAGGCAAGTAAATACTAACTACTGTGAGGTGGAAAACCGCGTGGAGTCACCGAGGGTCTTCCCGTCCTTTTTCGTCTCGTGCCGCTTGTCTATTTCAAATTATCAGGCACATTCATTTAATAATTTCCCAAGCAGTTTTTAAAAAGGTGTTTGGGAGTGTGTAAAAGTTTAGTGACTGTCACACTAAGACTTGTTGTCAGAGGTACGTGGTGACTATCTCGACAAGCAGAACTGGGCCCCAGCTTACTAACCCTTCATGTGAGAATCTTCTATTTTTAAGGCTGAAGGATGGAAATTAACAAAACATAGAAAGCAGATGAACCTGCAATGAATTGTAAAGAAAAAACGCAGCAAATTATCGTACCTTAAATATGCTGTTCAACTAATCACCGCCACCAGAAATACCAAGAAAGGAAGAGGTGTGTGTAGAGACTAAAATCAAACCTGGAAATTCACATTCATCAGAGATTAGAACATTCAGTCAATACTCTCCCCAGAATCTAAATGTAAAGTGGCCAAAATTTCATAAACTTAAAAAGGAAAGCTTTAAAAACATAGTTTTAAAATTAGACCATATGTTAAATAAATGAATAAAAGTGATATAAACAGCTATGAAAATACTTCAGTGCAAAGGCAATTTTAAGATTTCTAAAAAAATACATTACAAATAATTTGTTAACTGAACATACAGAGAACCTGTCTCCCTACAGGTATTACATTTATACCCATGTTGGGCTCTTAAAAAGGGCTGTAAAAATGCACACACCATTGTTTGTGGGGTGGCGTGGGCAGGGCTGCCTAGCCAGGGCGGCCGCACACAGACCTCGGGGCGGGACGGCCCCTTGAGACAGCGTGGAGTTCTCCGCATTCTGTCTGCTCAAGCCAGCTGCTCACTACCCTAATCTTTGGTGTGGTGTTTGTCGCCTTAGTTCATCCCAGCCACTGCGTTCACTGTTCTTACCGTTGATTTATCCTCTAGTTCAAATAAATATTTTCTAGGTAAAAGATTATACAATCAAATGGTGAAATTTGAGCTTCCAAAAACACCTACTGTCAAGCACCTCGGAACCGCCCTGGGCTTCCCCTGCCGCAGCCCCGTTCCCCGGCGTGGTGCGTGCGGGCGGGCGTGAGGACGGCTCCTGCGCATCCGATGGTGCTTTCCCAAAAGGCAGCAGTTTCAGCGACTGAAGTTGGATTCCACACTGAAATGTCTTCTTTAAGGACCATTAAGGCTACGTAAAGGTTTCTAGAAATAGAAATGCCGGTATAGAGAGCAACAGGGACTTCCTATGACAGCAGCCGTTGGGTTGCTAATCCACCCAGAGCAGAGCGGAACGGAATCCTACGAGGAAGGAGAGCCCTGCGTGGGGATGTGGGGACGCGGGGACAAGGGGGCGCGGGGAGGCAGAGCCCGGCAGGCGGGGGCGCAGTGCTGCCTGTTGGGATTGACCCCCTTCCTGTGGGCCGCCCCCATCAGCCCGAGACAGGTTCTGGGGCATGAACACCACCTTGGTGGTCACCCCTCCATGGGGACAGAGGATGTCTGCCCATCACGGCAAAGTATCTGTCCCCCTGTCCCTTGCACCCATGAAATCAACATTCTCCCATAAAAGTGGTGACGGTGGGCTGACGGCTCCACGCTCAGGCGAGTGGCCGACGGGCATCCTGGCGTTTCTGCTGCAGGGCCGGGAGCTGCTGGCGTGGCCCTGTCCTCCCACGTGGCACTGCTTTCTTCAGGAGGCTGCCAGTGATGGGAAGAGACCGCAACTCAGCCAGCCTGACACACAGGGCAGGCGGGCTCAGCCTTAACTGCGGGGAAGCACCCCCAGATGAGCAGGGCACAGCCTTGCGTCAGTGGGGATGATAATGTCCGAGTGACCTGGCCCTTCCCACAGCAAGAGGATTGAGGGTTCTTGGGTAAAGGACGTACTGCTACAGCTTCACCTTGCCCTACGGAGGGCATGGGTGGCGGCCAGGCAAGCAGGACACAGCAGTGGGCAGCGTCCACACGTGGGCCACCACAGGTCCCTGGATGGCTCTTCTCTCCCAGTGACAGCAAAGGCTGATGACGGCAGGTGCGTGAAGACACAGGCCTGGGGGCACAGCCTCTTCTTGACAGCGTGCAGGGTGGGCCAGCAGAATGTCCCTTCTGAGTTGAGCTGAATGCCTGGAGGCCACCACTGTGGCTGAACCACCACAGCGCTAGTCCAGATGGCCAACGGCCACGCTTGAGGCAAGGCCTGTGGCCCCTCCTTGCCTGCTGGGGGCCAGGAAGAGGCACAAGCACAGTCTCCACAGGCTTGGGGTCGCCCATCACACGAGCATTCCCACGAGGGACCCAGGGCAGCCATGCCTTGGGCTGGAACTGTAGCAGTGATGGGAACAGCTGGGGGTGGGTGGGGGCTCCGCGGACACCTTCCCCTTCCAGACCGCGAGCGTCACCCGCTGAGGCCTGGAGCCGCTCCAGGCAGCCGAGGGACAGGTGCTCTGGTAGCCTGGGCTCTGCAGAGAGGCAAGAGGGGTGAATTCTGAGTCTCGGTCCCAAGGCTGTGCGCACCCATTCTGCTGAGAGAATGAGAGACACACGGTCAGTGTGGGGGATCCCCATGGGGCTGCCCGAGTCACCCTGGGACACATTCGTGACCGTCACCTCCTGCGGGAACTGCTAGACTCAACTCAGGACACGGCCTCATCCTGAGGGCATGTCAGGTGGGATCCACCCCCCACCCACCACCCCCAGAGAAGCCACACAGAGGAAGGGGTCTCTGCGTAGGAACGAGCACCTCTCCTTTTCAGTACTAACAGAGCACCGTCCTCCCGCCCCACCATCCCATGGAAGAACCCAGGGGCCCCAGGGATACAGGCCATGGACAGGAAACCCATGGGCCTCCTCCCTGTAGCTGGCGTCCTGTGCAGTGAAAGCTCAAATGCCATCCCATACCCAGAGACCCTCGGACATAAGAGCTCACTCACTGCCCCCGAGAGGGGAGGCCCCACCCCACAGGGACCAGGCTGGTGTCATGCTGGATGTGTCTGGCTTGTGTCCCCTCAGCTTGCTGCCTTGGGTGTCACCGCATGGATGGGGCCTGCATGGCTTCTTACTGACAGCCCATCGGGGCCCTGGATGTGCACAGGCGTGGGGAGCAGCAGGAGGCTGGCAGCATGCACCATCTGTTGGGGGGCCGTCCCCAGGTCAGCCCACTCTCAGACCAGGGGCAACGGTGGAAACGCCAGCAGGAGCAGGTGTCTTCACGGCCTCCACGGCTGTCAGACAGGTGACAAGCTACGTGCTCTGGCTGGCCTGCCTAGGTCCAGGTTCCACAGGAATCATGCAATATCCACATGTGATTTCAAAGCAGGCTCCTTCCTGTGAGGCCTTTTAAATAAAGCTGTTTCTCCCAAAAGACCAGGATGATATCTGATGTTGCTGGGCCTGCTCAGGCTGCGTGGCGTGCACGTAGGGTGTGTGTGCACCTGTGTGCATATACACCTGTGTGTGTGCACAGCATGTTCCATGTGGAGTCAGCGTGCCCTCAGGCGTGCCACTTACCTGGGACAGCAAACACATGTGTGTGTAAAGAGGGCTGCTCTTTTTCACTGTGAACCTTTGTTATCAAAGACAGCACAGCACAGCACAGCAAAACTTTGGAGGAAAACAGGTCTGAGTCACAACACACGGGCGGCGTCCAGTGGCCGCACGTTACCTAGCGTGGAGCTAACTGCGCCGTGGCCGCCGTAGGAGATCCTTCAGGAGGGGCCTGTCGCTGCTCTGTGCGGCCTGGACCGGAGCCTTGTGCTTCGCGCCCCTCTGCAAGGCGAGGAAAGACACTGAGCAGTGCCACCCGACACGGGCCACGTGGGGCTGCTGAGTTGCCACCCATGGGCACCAGGAGCACCCCGGCCTCTGCCTGCACCACCTGTGGGCCCCAGCAGGAGGCGGCTCTGAGCCCGTTAAAGTCTGCACGGGGTGTCATGGAGCTGCCAGGGCAAGGGCTCGGGGCCTCTCCAGGAAAACAGACGCTGTCCCAGCAGGGCCACTCCCATGGGGAGCCCAAGCCCAGAACGGAGGCAGCCTCCGGCTCAGGGACAGGTCACGGCACCTGTGGGAGGCAGAAGGTCTGAGTCCCTCAGCTGGAAGGTCCATGGGCACCTCTGGAATCCTGAAGCCACACATCTGGCCACACGCCCGCTTCCACGGCAGCCAGCCAGCCCCAGGAGCTGCTCTGCCAGGGCCCTGCGGCCGTGTGTCCTGAGGCTGATGTGCTCAGAGAGCTCCACTGAGATCCTGCAGCCAAGGCTTAGTCTATTCAAAGAATAAGGAAAGCGCAGGAGCTGAAGAACCGCAGGTCCGAGTGGGCGAATGTCCGGGCGAGGAGAAGCAGGAAACAAAGGCTGAGGCTGTCAGCCTTCCCAGGGACAGTGATGGAGAAGTGAACTGCATGCAGACAGGTACACAGAGGGATGCCAGCACCGACTTATATATGTGAGCTGCACATATATAACGCATACACCTGATGCCCGCAACGCTTTTCTTTTCCGTAGGAGCAGGTTAAAAGGAAGCCATCCTTCTGAAGGCCCGCGTGAGGACTGCTGACATGTCTGTTCCTCCAAAGTTTTGCAGAACGCGGGTGGTCTCAGCACCACAGTGTGTCCTGTGCGCGCTGGCCCTGCCTGCAGGGGTCATGCGGGGGCCCGAGGCCTGGCAGGGGCCAGGACAACCTCCGTGCCGTGGTCTCTAAGCAGCCGGGCTCAGCTTCTGCACGTGCTCAGAAGCAAATCAGCCCCCAGCGAACTTCAGCGATAGTGATAATGTTTATTTTTATCCCAGAGTTGGTGTGATTTACTCAGTTTCTGAAGGACCTCCTATGACTTATTAAAGTGCTCCTAGTAATTTCATCCTAAATGTTTTCAAGTATGAAAACGGTGAGATGAAATTCTGTAATTTAATCTAACAAATTCTAATGACATTAAATTAGAAAAATTTTGATTCCTATTAATTCCTTGGACTTAAAAAAGGACCATGTTGCCAGTTAAAAATAGAGTTTAAAATATATAGAAGATGATGCTATTAAAGGAAAAAAAGCCTTTTTCTGCTCTGGGCATTTTTCTAAGCTGCATTTGGTAAAACAGTAATACCAGGTATGTATTTCCAAAGCATCACTGATTCTGAGCATGCGTGAACAAAGGGTGGGACGGGAAGGGTCCCCACGGGCGTTCCCACAGTGCCCCAAGCACACGGCACAGGAGCACATGGCTGAAAGACAGAAGGCAGCTTGACGATGCGTGGCCCCTGCAGTCTGCACCCTGACAAGGGCTCTGACCACGGATGCCACCACAGGGAAGTGGCGTGTGAACACCTCTGCATTGCCCTGAAGGGCCAGGATGGCCATTTTTAAGGCAAATTATTAATAAAAGGCATTTTAAAAAAACAATGAAGTCTTCATTTAAAGAAACGTAAAAAGGGGATTTGGTCAAACATTTGACACCAAACACTTCTGTCCCCGTCTCCAACTGTGTGGCTCAGCCTGGCTCCCCTTTTCTGAAATATGCATGGGTCCTGAGCATACCATGTGATGCTAGCTGCCTCAGTCTTTCCAGCTGCAGAATGGGCACAGAAGTGGGTGCATGAGGGAGGAGGCCTGGTGGTCCCTGCTCTGCAGGCTGCGGAGGGAAGGGTGTGCTGAGCTCAGGGCCTGGGTGACCACACCTTCCTGCCTAGGGACCCCTCTGACACCTGTGTGACGGATCATATGGCCGGCTCTCACTGTCAGCTGTGTCTGAGCCTTCACGGGTGGGGTCTCAGGCTGTGTGGACGGATGCTGAGGGAGAAACCCTGGTTACGTGTGACTGATGGAAAACATAGCCCACCATCAGTCTGAAGGTGAAGTGGTGGTGGGCTTCCCGAAGTGGGGTGCTGTGCCTGGTGGCTGGCGGACGCTGCGCTAGAGCGTGTGGACTCGGGGCTCTGGGATGGGCGTAGCCTGCTGCCCCAGGTCTACCGTCCCAAGCGCACGGAAGGCAGGGGAGTATCACCTTGTTCCGTCAGAAACTCAGGCTGCTGGAAGTCTGAGAAAGCATAAAGATGGTTGACTGCTCGACAGAAAGGCACTGGCTCTTAGTCTGAGTCCCGAGGTCAGTGGCCACACACAGGGGCGTGTGAACAAGGTGTGGGAGTTTAGACAAAGCAGTCAGAAGACGAAAGAAAACAGGACGGAAAGAGAAACAAGAGACAGAGTGGAGTTAGTCAGAGGCTCACCACCACATGCACGTTTACCTGGCCACTCTGGACAGACACCGGTGCCCCCACCACAGCCTGCCAGCCCCCCACCCCCGGCTTTATGCCTCCTGCAGGTCCCTGTGTGGTTTTTCCTAAGGGTTGCTGGGGCCCTTGTGGGAAGCCAAGACCCACAGCAGAATAGGGGCTCCTAAACGAAGGGTGGGACGGGGAGGGTCCCGACGGACATTCCCACAGTACCCTTGAGGCCCACCCACCCTGGGGACAGGCTGCAGAGCGGAAGGCCTGTGGTCAGACGCGCCCAGGGCATGGCTCTCAGCAGCCCCGACTCTGGAGGCTGCATGAACACTGTCATGAAGGGCCCAGAGTCCTGGGGGAGAGGCTCTCCTAACCACCCGCGTTCACCTCCTGTGTGCTCGGGTGTCTCTGACCAAGCACCACTGCATCCACGAGCACCCCGGGGCCAGGGAGGGCTGAGACTCTCATAAACCCCCACTGCTGTGGCCACAGCTGGGGACCCAGCGGACACCCCCAAGCTGTACCTGCTCACTCTCGGTGTCAGACGCCAGCCCTGCTGCCTCCTCTGTGCCCGGTGTCCTCGTGACCTGTCTGCCACGTCCCCGTGTATGGGGTGTGGTTATGACATGTGTCCCGTGCACAGAGCCCTGTCATAACATGTGTGCCCGCTGTGGAGCTGCACGGCTGAAGAGCTCAAGAGCCAAGGACCATGCTTCGAGAACAGCGCCGTCGGACAGCTGCTTCCGAGGCCATCGCAGGGCTGGGCAGTGGCTGCTTGTGCCAGCAAGTTTCCCTGAAGCCCTGGGGGCCATGGAGTCTCAGCCCGGGCCCCAGCTCCTGCCCCACTGGCTGGTCACAGGCAGGGCTCCCCTCCCCGCACAGGGGCCCCTCGGTGGGACTGTCTTAGAGGCAGCTGACGTGTGCATTTCCTGCCTGTGGTCCCCGAGGCAGTGGAGCTGTGTGCGGACATCTTCACTATGCTGAGAGGGGTTTTCCTCACTGTGAGCTTCGCTCGCTCTGATTTTACAAACTGTGGCAGGGGGCGTGAAGGATGGAGTGCCAGGAACTGGCGGCGTTGGTTTCAACATTTCAGATCGGCACCACCAACCCAAGGAAGCTTTCAAGCCAGGATCCCATCCTGACTGCTGGAGGGGGGGTGCGTGGGGCTGTGCTCCTGAGGGGGGGCGGCTTGTCTTCCCCCCCAGCTGGGAGCCAGGCCCCAGGTGTCTGAGCTGCAGGAGTGAGTCAGGGCTGGGGACCCAGAACGCCCTTGCCCCCTGTCTTCTTCCCACCTGCGCCGCTGTGTCCGACCTGGGCAGCCTCACACCCTGCAGGAGTGGCCACTGCCGGGGCCTCCCCACCCCTCATTTCCCCACAGGGTTTCTGCCCTGCCCAGTCCAGGGCCCCACCCCAAAGGGCAATTAGAAATTTTGGGGAATGGGCCAGGTGCAGTGGCTCACACCTGTAATCCCAGCACTTTGGGAAGCTGAGGCAGGCAGATCACAAGGTCAAGAGATTGAGACCATCCTGGCCAACATAGTGAAACCCTGTCTCAACTAAAATACAAAAAATTAGCTGGGTGTGGTGGCGCACGCCTGTAATCCCAGCTACTCAGGAGGCTGAGGCAGGAGAATTGCCTGAACCCAGGAGGCGGAGGTTGCGGTGAGCCGAGATCGCGCCATTGCACTCCAGCCTGGGTAACAAGATCAAAACTCCGTCTCAAAAAAAAAAAAAAAAGAAAAAAAAAAAAAAAAAAAAAAAAAAAAAAAAAAAAAAAAAAAAAAAAAAAAAAAAAAAAAAAAAATTGAGGGGAATGCAACTTGAAAATCTGCATTGTTAACAGAGTCCTGTGACAGGTGCAGTGGCCCTCTGAGGGCAGGCAGGCTTCTTGGGACAGCAGCAGAAGGCACGGCCACTGCCCCTGATTTAGGGTTGGGCTGTCCCCCGACTCCAGGCCTGAGCTTGAAGCCAGAGCCCAGCTGCTGCAAAGGATGCGGGGCCGGGGGCCGAGTCCTCACACCTGTGGAACCCTGCACCTGGGCGGGGGGCACTCAGCATCGTCACGTCTTCCCCGGATCCAGAATTCTGCTTGTGGCTAAAACTTGCGAGCGTGGAAAATAGGCAGCTCCACCAATACCAGAATTTCCTGAGATAAATGCTTCCATTTCCAGCCAAATTCACCATCCTTAAAAACCATGTAACTCAACGTTTAAACTAATGATTAATCTTAAAAGCCTTGCATTTACATAAAAGAATTTGCCTTTTGTATGAATCTTTTTCTCTTATTTGTGACTTATTTCAGATGACTGTTTAGGCTGCAACATAAACATCAGTCATATCAAATTTCCCTGACGTTTAACATCATGCGTCACTGGGAATCTCATTAGTGATACTTGGACTGGTCATGTTTTCACGCTATCCCTCAAAATGGTCATCTCCCAGTCCTAAGGCCAGGGCACTGAGGCACCCCTGCCCCGGCTGGGGATGCTCCATACCTGGACTCTCTCCGTTGCCGTCGGCCACAGCTGCCGGCACAGCACTTTCTTGAGAACGTCGGGAAGGAGGCTGACAGTCACCAGCAGCACGATGGCCAGCCAGGCGGGCCCGCTGGACAGCATCTGGATAAACACGTAGTACATCCTCTGGTAGTTGAGGAACGGCCTGAGGGGCAGGGAAGAGAAGCCGCAGGTGAGGCCTGCGCTCCCCGGGGACGGCCTCTTTACTCGCTGGAAGGGGTCGTTTTTCTTGGGAGCCGCAGGTGAGGCCTGTGCTCCCCGGGGACGGCCTCTTTACTCGCTGGAAGGGGTCGTTTTTCTTGGGAGTTTGCACTTTTGTCAGTCAGAGTTGCTTGGCAAGCCACGTAGCCTGCTCTGAATTTATCCCGTAAAAAATGAATGTAGAACCTCCCGGCAATGCTGGGGTAAGAGGAACGAGCGGAGGAATTCTGTGACATCATTTCAAAGGGAAAACAGAAGTCTCTGAAGTTCAGTTTCACAGAAGCAAAAAGAAGGGGCCTGAAACGGGGATGTTTTTCTATCCTGACGCCTCGGCCGTCGGATGGGAAGGGTGTGCTGAGCGCTGGCCGTCAAAACAGAGCGGGCAATGACGCCCTCCCCGGAAGGAGGACAATTCAAAGAAGATGTCTTCATCGGGCTCCTTGAGCTGGCAAGGAAGTGGGACCGGTGACCCCACAGCCAGCCCGAGCCCACAGAGCCACTTCTATCTGTGCCTCCCGGGAAGGATTCCCACTCGCCTTCCACATCCCCAGGCACCACGGACAGTGGCAGAGACACAGAGATGGGGCCCGACCCAGGAAGCACAGTGAACTGGGGTGTGGACCACGTAGGGAAACAGGAGCACGGGTGGTGGGTGACGGGGGGACGAGGAGCTGCTGGCAGGCCTGGGACGGGGCTGCGGGCACCCATGCGGTGCCAGTGGCAGGCAGGAGGATAGGTCTTGTCGCCAAGCGGGGGTGACGTGGCGAGCTCCCAGCACATCAGAGACTCGGGGTCAGTGTTTTAGGGAACAAAGCAAAAGGCCAGGGCTCTACCCAGGCGGACGGGCCGTGGCCCCTTGGCTCCAAAGCCCAGGAGCGGTCAGAGAGGTTTTGGGATGGAATCTTCTTACTCAGCCACGGCCTTCGGGGCTGCTAGAACGCTGGGCTCTCTGAGGCAGAGGCCCGGCCGGGCTTGCTTGAGCCGGGCGGGCTTCTCTGGGGCAGGCAGGTGACTGGAGTCCTTGACGCTCGGCTCTCATCTCTGGGACTGTGTAATGCAACCCGGGGCCACCAGGGGCCGCTGGCTGAACGAGAGAATCTGGAGGGACGCCTCCTGAGCTGAGACTCCCGCCCAGGTCAGCGGTCCTGAGGGTTTCCCTGGCCCCAGGTCTGCAGAGGGCTGTGGCCGAGGCTGTGGTGCTGGGGCTGAGATTGGGATCCAGTCTGGGGCCACCACCCAGCATCATTTCCTGGCTTCCCGTGACAGTCTCTGGACTGACCACCCTGCCTATATTGCTCTCACCAGCTCAACACACAGCCACCGTGCGGTTTTTAAAACAGCCGCCCAACTCTGCTGGGCTCTGCCCACAGCCCTCCAATGACTCGACTGACCACGGCAGCCTCAAGCCAGGATCCCCACGGCCGGCAGTCCAGGAGGCTACCCTGCCTGCTCTGCACTGGCCCCGGCCCCTTTCCACTGGCCACGGCTCCCACTGACTGAGGACCCCACCCCCTGCCCAGGCCTGCGCCCCTCCTGCTGCTCCGCCAAACCAGAAGCTCCCCTGGGAGTCAGGCTGCCGTGGGCAAGGTCTGGCCCTGCCACGCACACGCCCGGGCCCATCTTGTCTGTGGTGTGCCAGGATGGAGTGAGACGGAACCTGTCAAATGCCTGGCCGGCGCCTCGTGGTGGGAGGCAGTTTGCAGCTGGGATTTGCTGTGATGATGGTGCCCTTGGTCCAGGTTTCGGTTTAAATGATGACTTTTTCTGAGCAGTCATCTCTAGCCTTTCAATCTGACACAGGTCCCCTGGTGTAGAATCCTGGTCTGTGCCTCCACAGAACCAGTTAGCATCTCTCTCCTCCTGTAGGTGCAGGTCACAGGAGCAAGACTCCCCCCCGGGTCTTGCCCCCAACTGTATCCTAGGACCCCACATGACGCCCAGCATACAGCAGGTATTCAACGAACACTCGCCCCAACCAGCAGCCTTGCTGGAAAATGCGTCTTCAACCCCTGATTAAAAAATACTGCAGGACGATTGAGGTAGTAACAATCATGTGATAGTTACCAGATTATCAGCCATTTATCAGATATTTACCAGATCACTCCTCCCCAGAGAAGTGAAAAGACGATGTAGAACAGCAGTGACCCCCAGATGACAAAATGGTTGATCCAAGTCCAGTAGTGTGTGTCTAATGCAAGCTAAAAGGAAAAAAAAAAAAAAAAAGGCAGTGAATGGTGTCATCTGAGTAGTCAGGATCGGTGACAGCAGAGAGGAGCTGGGGTGACGAGAAATGAAACCAAACACGAGACCCAGCAATGGCGACTCAATACCCACACAAAACCGCTCAGGAAGGCAAAAGCACACCTCACACAGCCTGTGGAGGGGGGAGGGGGGAGCAGTGGTGATGCCACAGTCCAGGATTTGGGGGAAAGGGCCGTGGATCATCTCCCAGATGAGGGCATCGGGGCCACGGATTAAGGCGTTTACATCACCACCGAAGAAAGTCACTTCGGACTAAGGTGTTGTTTATGCCACTACCTAAGAAAGTTGCTTTTAAAAATGTGAGTCTCTCTCTCTGTCGCCCAGGCTGGAATGCAGTGGTGCAATCTTAGCTCATGCAATCTCTGCCTCCCGGGTTCAAGCACTTCTCCTGCCTCAGCCTCCCAAGTAGCTGGATTACAGGCGTGCACCACTGCGCCTGGCTAATTTTTGTATTTTTGGTAGAGACATGGCCACGTCGCCATGTTGGCCAGGCTGGTCTCCAACTCCTGACCTCAGGTGATCCACCTGCCTCGGCTTCCCAAAGTGCTGGGATTATAGGCGTAAGCCACTGTGTCCGGCAGAAAGTTAGTTTAGATTCGGGTGTTGTTTATATCACTATCTAAAAAAAATCACTTTAGTAATGTTTTGGTACCACTTTTTAAGACTCAGTCTGATAGGTTTTGAGATTTCACAATGATATATTCTGTATAGAATTTCACTGGATTTTAAAAAGAGTGAAATTTTCCAAAATACATTAACTTGTTCCAATTAAAATGTATTTTGATGGCGCTGGGGGGAGGGCTACTTGCCACTGAAAAGAATTCTAGCCTGAATTCTTTCACCAAGAGGCGGCGCCCTCCTGAGGTTTCCTCGGACATAGCTCTGGGGTTCGCACATGGGGTGGCCGGGTGTGCTGAGTGGCTGTGTGTTACTTGTCTAAACAGCAGGATGAGGATGCCCAGGGGTGCCGCAGGAGTTGGCCTGGGCTGGGTGCAGGGTGGCTTCCAGCCTTAGTACGGAGTTCTAATTCAGAGAGCTTAGAGGGGTGAGGCCTACACAGCAGTGACTCCCTGTGGCCGGCCGGGGGGGATGTGAGCATCAGAACACTTACCTTTGGTGTGACTGACAGCAG